AGCTTAAAATGTTTAGGGAGAAATGGAATACTGGTGTGTATTTGTTATTTAAAGTACCGAGACCAGCCATATACTGTATGTTTATGTTCCAAAATTGATATCGTTTATGGCCTTCACACGTGTTACAGTATGCTCCTATTCTTTTTTTGCTCAGGTACTAAAATTTCCCTTCAGTGGTAAAATTCCATATGAATATTCAATGCTAAAACGGGCACAGTGAAGACATTTACTGTAAATCTTTCTACGACCGACCAACAGACCACGAATGCCCCTGTCGGTCAACCAATCACGTAACGCGGTATTTTGCGTCATCGTGCGTCAGTCTGTACTGCACACTTTGAATGGTTGCATCTGTAGTGGTAGGGCAATCCATAATGAATAAAAAATACACCTTTATTTATCAACGTATCAAACTAATAAACATTACAAATTTAAAACTAAAATTAGGCACAGTTGTAATTTAAGCGGCAGATATGGCATAGAGTGGTGGAGAGGCCTCTGGACTTACAGGCTGTAAAAATTATTTGAGCTCAGTTGTTCCAGTCAGCCAGCCCTATGACCTGGGACCAGCCCTGCTGGGGATACTTCCTGTGATGAACTGGGTGTACTTCACCCTAATAACCAGGCTGAGCTCTGATCTGATGCGTCACTGTGCTCTGTTATGGGCTTTGCCTCTGCCTAGGAATTAAGCAATTCGTTTTAACAACTGGGCGGCACAGGAACACAATGGTTAGTTAGCATTGCTACCTCGCAGAACTGGGGCCGTTAACTTAATTCCAGACCTAGGTGGCTGCCCATGTGGAGTTGGAATGTTTCTCTTGTGTTTGTGTATGTTTCCTAAAAACAAACTGGTAGGCTCAGTGGTGCTGCGTGCGTGCATTTGTTTTGCAATGGACTGCCAGGGTGTATCCTGCTTTTCTTTCCTTAAGATTGGGTGTATCCCACCTTATCTGGCATACTTGCAGGCACCTCACTTACTTAAAAAGACAAATAGCTCTAGTGTGGAGACTGAAGGCTCACCAGTAGGAAAAGACCCCACAGCAGCTGAAAGGACTCCAGAGTAGACTCCTCTGAAACCACCTGCTTTGTAAAAGCCGTTTTGACTCTGCAGTCTGGTTTTGACGGTGTCCAGCGGATATAACACCAGGTCCACACACATCCCAGCGCAACCCCCTGCCTGGGAACATAGACACAAATAAACAATGATTTATCTTTAATGGCTGGAAAATACAAAAAGGTGCAAAGTGATACAGTAAAGAAACAGGAGTCCAACAACTTTTACACAGAACATTATTCAGCATTTCTTACATGAAGTAGTTCAAGTAGGGAGCTGTGTCAGCATGCGTAGGCTGCAAAGGAACAAGTAAATGCCATGCTAAAAAGAGAAGAAATGTTTCAGCTGTAGAGCCTTCTTTGGGCTGTGAATGGGTGTCCGAAACGAAACGTCCGAAACGTTGCATTTCTTTTCTTCTCTTTTCAGCATGGAATTAACCTTTACTTCTTCCATTTCTTACATGAAGGCTGATATCAAGTGTTTTGCAAAAAAAAAGATTTTTTAATACAAAGACATCTTATTAAAACATAACACTGCACATAGTTAAGAGTAAAAAGCATATTAAGGGTACAACATTCAGAGTACAAAATATTGAAATATGTACAGCTAATAGTCTCAAAACTCAATGACAAAATCTCATGATTGCACACAATTGCAAAAAATATGTAAACTGAATAAAGCCTTTTTATACAATTAGAACCATAGAAACTGTGTTTGTGTGTGCAGACACAAAAGGCCCTATATACATGGCCACAGCTCTTTTTAATCTATATATCTATTTTGCATTAACTGATTCTTGAGTTCTACCTACAGCGCATCAGTATGCTTGCCCAGAAGGGAGACAATTTTTTATAAATCTACTGCTGAAGATCATATTACAGAGAAGTCAGGAAATCACAGGTTTTTAATTAAACTAGTCAACAAACAAATTAATAAACTGATGCATCTGACAGTGCACATGCAAAACTGAAGAAAAGTAGACACTTTGAAATTCTGTCAAAATGCACATTTTAAAAAGTCCACATTGGGTATGAAGCACATTTTTTGTTGCACAATGTAAGAAATAAGCTGAACATGAACACTCATCTTTCAGAAGACAATTAAGAAGCCATTTCCCTGCTTTACTTAGTTTAAATGAGCATCACAATATACTAATAACTTGTAACTACAAATCATTGCAGGCTGTTATTATTAGGAAAATGTTGATCTTTTATAGCTTTTACACTGACATTTTATTGAACACATAACATTTCTTGTGAGATTCTGTCCCACTGCTCTTCTACAGCCAGGAAAAGCACATTCCTGTTCACTGATCTCCAAACTATAGTTAGATACCATACATCTTCACCCTCCACATGGTCAATGGAGCTCAAGTCTGTTGAGTCAGGTCTCCTTCACATAATTATAACACTGTCATCTTGCAAGCACATCACTGATACATGAGTGGAATGAGAATGTGTGGTGTTTTCACACATCACATCAGACTAAGCCTGCAGTACGAGAAGAAGATGCGGTCCAAAGATTAGTGTTGCACCATGAAGCCAGCTTGTCAACAAGCACTACAAATGGAGCCACAACTAGACACATCTACCATCACACTTGGACCTCCTTATTGACTGGGCTGTTATTAACAATAATTGAATCATTTATGGCATCATTCTGCTGGTCTCTGCCACTGCCACTGGTAATATCCATAATGGTAGCCTACATACTGTAAAACACTGATTCATTGTTCAAGAGCAATAACTCCATTATCAGCAAGGCCTTCTGAAGTAACTTAGTCAAAGACTTGGTTTCTTTCTGTTTTTCTTTTCATGATTTCTACTGGGCTGGATATTCAACTTATTAAATCACTTCATCAGCCGTGCCTAATCAGCCTCAAAAAGGAGGACTTATGCAACATTTAAAGTCTCTCAGTGTATCAGTCAAGAACAATCAATGTATCAAAATTACGCCAAAAAATAATATCCCAAATCTTAGTTATTCTAAAAACCAAGATGCGTAGTGTTAATGCCTTTCTCGATTTTCAGCATCAAATTAAAAGTTTGCCTCGTTTATTTTTTAATGTTTCTTGTTAAAATACGTTCATTCCCCATACGAAAATGAATCCCCATTCCTGAGTGTCTCTTATTCTTGAACTGACTAGACACTATATCTTTGCTTACTTTTTCCAGGTAATTAGCTTAAAATTAGAGTATAATTGTGTAATTTTTTATTAGCTAAAAACAGTCCAAACATCGTCAGATTCAAACAATGAAGCAGTAAATCGACGTTAAATGACTGAAACGAAAAAGTATGTTTTTCAGTTGGTGACATTTACTTTTATCTGCTTTTATGTTTTGATCAACAAGTAAAATATTTTACTTGTATCACAGACACATCCAAGGGCTTAAAGTTACAAATAAAAATAACATTTTATTTCTGATAACTTGTTAAACGCCTTGGTTGCACAGCCTTGGTTGAACACTTTTATATTCACAAACATGTCATTAGACTTATCTGCAGAAACCTCTTCTCGTATTACTCCGTGTAACATCGCACAGATCACGTTTTAATTCTTAGCGTTTGACAAAAACAATTCTATCGCGTTTACCACAAGTGATGCAGAGAATTCTCTTCCTTTCATCTTTCACGGAGCTAGCACAATCCACACTGCACTATCCTTCACCTGCATTCTCACAGATCTTACTCAATATCCGCCAGATTCAGTCAAAAAAAAAAAAGCATTGACTTAAGGACGCCGCCATGTTGACGTGACCCCAGAGGCAGGACATCCGGGACACTAACGTATGATCAACAACTCCACGTGTTTCTCCGGGAATGTAAAAATACTGTAACGCAACGGGGGCTCAGGCGGGCGCCCTTGCCGCATTAGGTCGGCCCCTGCACCGTCCGGGGCTCGAACCCGGGACTTCCGCGTCTCTCTGCAGCGACCTAGCCCCGTGAGCTAGAGAGAGATCTCTCCACAGCCCAGTAGCTGTGGTCCTGCTATCACAGGGAAGGGCGGTGACGTCACCCGCTCTGGTACGCCGGCTCTTACACACACTGCTTGTCGGCCGTAAGCGTTACAATACGTTTAATATTTTGCGGTATGTGTATACAGAAATGAGGGCATATGTTATATTGCTGTTACCTGTATTGTTTAGGGGAGAGTAGTACCACGAAATATGTCTACAAGGACACTGGAATCTGGTTGACTACTATATTGTAGTCAAGGTTATTATTAAAGCAAAATAAACATTTCCCTTTCTCCAAACTCAGGCCTTAAGGCTACAATGTTCCATTTCGTTGGGGATTTTTTTGTGAAAAGGAAATAAGTCCGGTGCTATCCTGTTAGGAAAATCTCGTGGTTCTTTTGCTGAAACACTGTTTAAGTTTTTTTAGAAAGAAGTGAGCTGGAAATGTAAAAGACATGCCTAACTGACTGAGACTGAAAATCAAACTCTCTTCGGCTGACGCTGTTTTGGAGACCAGTTTATACGGGGTGTAGTACAGGATTACTTGTACTCCGGACAATTAAAGTGATCGAAGAAGAGAAAACAAACTAAAAGTTCCTTTGCTTGACAGATCCACAGCGAATCGGGGCAGTCTTGAAAGTGACTTGGCTTTATGAACAGGTATAAAATACACAGCAGCTCAAAATGGTCTTACAGGGTTTGTAGCTGTTTGGAAACTGCTATTCTGTATTTATTTAGGCGGTTTGACCTTTTCTGATGGGTTGCTTGATACGAGGCTGAAGTTGGCTTCTTATTCGCGTTTTTCGTTCCACCTTAAATGCTGCTGCTGTGAAGTTAGGCATTAGGCTGCCCAATAATATTGTCATGATAACTAAAAAAATATCGTGTAAGGTAACAATTTTACATGAAAGCTATTACCCCGTAATGTATGATTTGCATTATGTACTTGCTTTGTCTTTTGTTTCCATAATTATGTCCAGTATTATATATCAAATGAAAAAGTCTAAGTGTTAAGATAATCTGCTAGTGCTGTTCTGATTGCACTTCTTCATGTAGTAGACGTATAAATAATAATAATAATATTTTTTTATTTATAAAAATAATAGTTTTCCACACCTATTTGTTTTCACAATGATATCGTTAATAGTGATCCAAAATCGGGGTTCTTTTCTGTTGTAACATGATATTGTAACGCCCTCGCCTGGTAGTGAGGAGGAAGCGCCCCTAGGCTCTCGTAGTACCGCTGGGCATGCTGGGAGTGGTAGCCGGGGAGAGTCTGAGGGTCAGCACGATGACCAGCGGCTGATCCTACCTGTGTACATAATGTCCTAGTAATTCTAGTGCCCTGTGTAGTCTTGTAAAAGTATAGCGTGTTGTAAGGTAATTACCACCCTAAAGAAGTGTACGTGTTCCGTCAGTCTCCTCATATGCGTGTAACTCTTGAACTTGGTTTTGTGTGGTTGTTAACGAAAAAGCTACCGCTTGGTTGGTTAATCGCGTCTCCACTATTCTTTTGTTCTGAAAATAACCTGTAAACGCTACAATATATTTTGTATACATACGCACCATTTTTATACAAATCATTGTATTATCATTGGTAAATGACAGACTTGTTTTTATATTTTTCTTGTAAACAGTCCTTGCTTGATAAAATATGGCATTTGTAATGTGTGGACATGTGATAGTTCGTTGGTTTGAAACAAATGTCATGTTTTAAAAGCCAAACTGAAAGCTGTCAACGTGACACAAATATAGATTTAAATGAGACAACTGTTCTGAATGTAGCATCTGCACATTACCACAAAGGCAATTGTCCCTAATAGGCATCACAGTAATTCAGAGTCTATTCTAAAAGCAAAGGGCAGCAAGGTGAGTTTATGTCTAGGATGAGACACCAGTCCACATCCGGGGAGATACACAAGGACAGTTAAGAGACGTCAGTTAACCTAGCCAGCACATCTTAAGGAGGCAGGAGGAGATCCATATGTATACTCCATATGGAATTATGGAATGTGGCACTGTTTGGAATTGAATCTAAGACTCTGAACTGTGAGTCTCCAATGGTAACCATCACATCTGCCTATTCTGCTTGTACATTGATTTCACAATAATGGAAAAACATTTTATATTGTAAAGCAACGGCGGCTCAGGCGGGCGCCCTTGCTGCTCTGGTAAGCCGGCTCTTACACAGTACCTGTCGGCCGTAAGCGATACAATATTAACACAAACATGTCTTTATGCAAGTATGCAACACAAAACCCAAAACAACACAACACAAAAACATTTAAAACATTAAAGCTTTCAATCTTGTTACAGTAATATTTTATTATTCATAATACACTTAGACTTCTCTTTATTTGTTAACTGTGTATCAACTGTAAGTGAAAAAGTGTATATACCAGACAGCTTCAGTTCTCACCAGAATTGGTTTTATTTTGTTAAAAACATTCACTTTCATTCATAGTAATTTCAAACTCATGTTTATTTGTCATTCCACCCATATACAAGAATACAGTAGAACGAAAAATCGTTCCTTCTCGTCCCCGGTGCAAATATAGACAGGACAGAAAGGACACTGACATACTGTAGACATTGTAGACAGGTTTTTTTTTT